TATATATATATATATGCATCTTGTATTTTTCACTTAAACTATTTTAATTATTTTTAATGGTGTCCAAACACTTTCTAAATCAGAATGCTGCCATAGAGATCAGATGGGAGTCAGAGGATATTACATTTCTCCAATTTCAGCTTCTCCCCGTATAGTTCCCTGTCAAACTCAGAACAGCCTTTACTATACTACTTTTAACTTTCTCAACAACCAGTCTCCATCTTATTTATTTATTACATTCATTTAACCAGGCAAATCCCATTGAGATCACATATCTCTTTTGCAAAGGAGATGACAACTTTACGTAAGCATGCAGAACGACCCCAGGTCCGAACTCAGGACCATCTTGCTGTGCAGCATCAGTGATAACCACTAGGCCATCATCCTGCCATATTGAATATAATTTATATTCACAGCCTTTTTTTTCTTTCTACTGTATATGTTTGAAACAGAGCACTTTGCTCTCAGACTATGTTTATTTGTGGTTCCTATCTCTAAAACTAGAGCTCTTGTGGATCCAGCTTCCAGTTTTTGTTTCTGAAAGAGCGATTGACAGGCTTCTGCTAAGCTTGATGACATTCTGCATATGTCTCTAAGTAATTTAAATATTTGATTCGGGTGTGTTGAAGCTGGGAAACAGCTAAAACTTCTAGGATGGTGCCAGTTGAGAACCACAATTATATTGAAACAGCAACAAAAAATAGTGTGCAGTTTGCAAAATACATGGAAATAAAAAAAGCTAATCAAAACAAACAGTTTAGGCGATAGTTAAATGTGTACTGTGGTTGCCAAACTGTTGCCTTATTTGCCTTTCAAAGCAACTTCATGTTAGTTTTCTCTGTTTTGCTGTCATTGATGCTGCAGTCACAGGCGTACACTTTTAATGTTGACAAAGATAACCACAGTGTCCGAGGTGCAACACAGATGAACACTACCATTAGAAACCAGAGAAACAGCAATCACGGCAGGCAGATTATTGGGCTCACTTTCCAGGTTCTGCCAGATTTCATGGATTATAAAGTGTGAATGTTCTATAGTTATCTCATTAGCAAGGGGTGAGATAAATTACAGGGTGCACTGCTGCCAGTGCACAAAATAGTTCAGTATCAAGGTTGGTGGTGGGCGTGAGTCCATGAGCACAGATTGCAAAGAGATACAGAAAGTAGGAGAAGGAATTCAATATGTCCAGACAGACAGATGAAGAGGAATGGGCTGAGATCAGACAGTGATGGAGATGGGGAAAATTCTGACTTTTTGGTTCATCTTCTCAAACCTGAAATGTAAACAGGCTGGGCTAAGGGTCAGAGAAGAAGGAAAAAGTGTGTATGTTTGACAAAAGTAAGCCAGCAAAGAGTAACAGAGGGTTGAAGTCCATTTATCTATAATAATTTATTTATACAGCCTTTGTAACATCGCAAAAATCTAAAAAAAAAAGCAAAATCTCTTTTACTAGTTTAATGGGTCGTAACCCATAACCTTTAAGGTAAGAATATAGATCTGTTTAAATAAAAATAGGTAAATAMTGGAAGAAATTTGAAAAAAAAAAATAACAGATAGTCAGACTTAATCTTTCTCGCCATCATTTCTGTCAGGGTCATGTTTGTCAAAAAATTTAAAGACTTAATGAAAAAATAAATTTTACATATGCCAAAAGAGAAAATAACTTATGACAAATAGGAACTGTTTTTATTGTGAGTTATTCTGAGATGATGTGGTTCAACAAAAAGGGGAGAAATTTGAGATTTTTTGTTCCTAATCTCTTCTGTGGAGGTATTGTGTTATAAAACCAGAGCAACAAAACACTATAAAAATACCAAAGTACTGCTTACATTTTTTGTACATTTTACAAATGAAGCCAAAGGAAATGTTCAATAAAAAAAGGTTTCCTTAAATGTATCAGGTAACACAAATAACAGAAAGTTACACAGGCCTCATTTAGACATAAAAAATATGTTGATCTTAGGCCAAAAAACAGGTCAACTTCACAACTAATCATTAAAATCAGATGAAGCAAAGTTGTTGTTGTTTGATTCTTTTAAATATTTACAGATTTGAAACCAAATGACAATCTAAAAAAGACAAATGTAAGTGCAATATGCGTTCATTTCTGTAATAGGATAAGTACATAAAAATCAATGACACCTACTTTTCCTTACTGAAGTCTCAGTAACCCAACTCCTAGAGAATGTAATGTAATGAGTATGTAAACAAAATGCAGGACCATGTATTTCAGTATACAGTACTTTTACAAGACAGAGCAACATTGCATTAATTCCAAAATAATCCTTATGCTGTATATACTGTACATATATATATAAGACACACTGAAGACTTGCTAATGTTAAAACTAGATTTCAGAAAGTGGAAGTGACTTTGAATGAGGTGAGGTTGACTGACTGGTCTGAGTATTTCAGAAAAGACCAATATCATCATCATCATCATCATCATCATCATCATCATCATCATCATCATCATCATCATCATCATCTCAACGTCGTCGTCTTCATCATCATCATCATCACTTTATATATATAGCACATTTAAAAACAAGTGTTGACTAAAGTGCTTCACAGACACAATACAATAAAACTAATAATAAGCTAAAAACAAATAAAAAGACACAAATTACAAATTCCTGAGGTAGCTCAAACTGAACCTGAGTTAAAAGCCAGTGTAAAAAAGTGAGTTTTAAGCCAGATTTAAAAGACTGAACGTAATCTGCAATACGGATCTCAAGAGGCAAGTTGATCCAGAGTCTGGGGGCCGCCACAGCAAAAGCCTGTTCCCCTCTATGCTTTAGTTTTGCCTTTGGCTGCACTAAAAGCATCTGATTAGAAGATCCCAGTTCTCTGTGTGGGGTATAAAAATGCAACAGGGCCAATAAATAACTGGGTGCCAGACCATTTAAAACTTTAAACATAAGTAAAAAAAAATCTTAAAATCAATACGAAAGTGAACAGGCAGCCAGTGCAAATCAGATAAAGCATGAGTGATGTGGTCCTGCCTTCTAGAACACGTTAAAAAACGTGCAGCAGCGTTCTGGACTAACTGCAAGTGATGGACAGATGATTGTTCCAAACCAACATATAAAGTGTTGCAATAGTCTGCCGTCTAGATGTAACAAAAGCATGGATAAGCTGATAAAAACTGGTTTTAACAATTGAAGATATTTGTTTCTTAAATTTAAAAGCACYGTCTTAAACATTCCAAGATTCTTGACCACAGATGAGCAATAAGGAGCAATTGGGCCAAGAATTCCAGGTAAACCATCAAGTGGAGAATAATTGCCAAATAAAATAACCAGTTTTGTCTTCATTCAAAGTAAGACACTTCTGGGATAATCAGTCTTTGACATCCTGGAGACAATTTAATATACTTTTTTTTTTACTCACAACCAGTCCCAGGGTTTAGAGAGAATGTTCCAAAAAACACAAAATATCCGGTGAGAGGCTGAGAGGCATTGTGTGGACAAGAAAGCCTTGTTTTGTCAGGGAGGACRAAATAACCTCAAATAACTGATGTGTGCAGATACAGTATGTGCCATCTCTGAATGTGCAACACATTTAACCATGACGCAGGCAGACTAGACCAGGGGCCTCATGTACAAAGACTTGTGTGGATTTCTTACTGAAATGTGGCGTACGGTCAAATYCAGAAAACGGCGTACGCACAAAAAAATCCAGATGTATCAAACCGTGCGTATGCTAGAATCCACGCACATTTCTTTTGTACATCACAATTAACGTGGAACTGAGCGCAGGTAAGACACCTCCCCTGACACGCCTTCACTAGCATGCAAATTACTTCCTGCATGTGT